ATACTTCTATAAGACTACCACAAATGCTTTTTTTTTCAGGCCTTACTGGAAAAAAACTTTTAGAAACCTGTAGCATTCTTATCAAAACTGCCCTTCTGGGGATGCACGGGTTGTGGAGAGGAGATCCCAGAGGAGCCCTATACATTATTTAAATGTTTCACAGCATGAGAAACCTTCTCGGAGGGTCTTCCTCTTCCTTTTATATGACTATATTTACCCCAGCCTTGTCATAACACAACCATTCTTTCACCCAAGGACTGGATTCAGCTCCTTCCAAAGCACAAATGAGCCAGTCAATCATTACAGACCAACAAATCCTCCTTAATGCTCTGTAACAATACAGGCCCTTGGGAGCAAGAGACAAGGTACCAGATATATGCCCAAAGAACATAAATGCAAAAACTTAAATCACGAAGACAATGCACAAGTGTTTCTACAGTTAGAGCATTAATGTATCAGAGCTTTGACTTCGTAAGAGTATTCAATGTCTGAAACCGGAAGGTTAAAATCCCCCAAGAAATAAGATTCAGAAAATGTACATACTTATCCAAAGATGGTTCCTGAACAAATGGGTAGCATGTAGTTAAGTACCTAGGAAAGACACATGCTTCTGAGGGTTCTGACCATGCCACAGTTACCGCCGCATGTTTTGGAACAAATGGTTTGACCTCTGCTGACAACTTGATGCCCTGAGAAACAAAACGTTTTTTGGCTACATATATTTGGAGATTAATGTTATAAGTGAAAAGAACTCATCCTTGTGAGCTCAACTGTCATAGGAAAGTGTTAGTTTGCTCTCTTACAACAAAACAATAAAGCTCACCAAAAGGAAATGGAGGAAGAGGGAGAAACAAAACCAAGGAATTTAAGAGAAACGTGATTGCTCTGGGAAGTTATTTCCTTCAATACCCGCATTTATCAGGAAATACTCACAAAGGCCAGCTACGGAAAGGACAGAGGCTTGCTTAACACAAGATGCAGTAAACGCTATTATAAGAATTCTTACTTTAGATTTGAACAATGTAAGCTAAAGCTCATAACATATATTAGCACTACTGTAAAATCAAACTCTGAAAGTATGTAACAATAATGGCTTTGTGTACATCTGTATTCAAGGTAGTCTGCCTGAAATCAATACTTAGTGATAGAGCCTTCTCATTCCTGGCACAACACAAATCTATTAAGACGAATTTTCCATTTGTTCTGAATTATCATTGACTTAAAACTGGATATGCATATATGGAAGGACATTGAAATGAGACTCAAAGTATTTATTGCCATTACAGCATTACACTGCTTTACTCACTCTAATACACGCCACAAGCCATCCCTACACCTCATTGTGTGTTTTGGGGTAACTGACGCACTACATGAAAACTGGAATTTTTTCACTTGTCAAAGCCGATTTCAATGACAAAATAACACACAAGGCTTGTAAAAATATTTGAACGGTGATTTCAATGCTTGAGCATATAAACTGGACTCCCTGCACCCTATGGTGTCTCAGCAGTCATTTGTATCATAAACATTTAAAAAGCTCTGATGGCCTAAAGTAAATTACAAATAACTGCAAAACTCCTCCGTTTCTGAATTTACCAGGCAGATCCAAATATATAATGAACGTCCACTGTAACAGTGACAAACAAAAGGTGAACTTTGCACAGTTAAGTACACTAATATATATGAAAAACATAAGCTTGGGAGGTAACTACAGCAAAGCATAATCGAGCAATTATTGAGAATACCTTATTCACTAAACACGGAGTGCATCACAGGAAGCAGCTGTGATTGCAGGCTAACCTCTCACGTTAAAGACCCCCGAGCCTGACCAGGGAATAAGTCCACGTGCAACGCAACGCCGCTGTTACTGGCTAGAACTTGTGCACCCATTTTTAAAGCGACTGGAACGTCTACCCGTCCTGGCAGCGGACTCTCCACTCTGAGAAAGAAGCGGTTCCCGTGCTTAAGCTCACTGGAGGTTCTCCCTCCCAAGTGGTGGGAAGCGACTCGCTGTGCATCAGCCTGAGCTACCCCTCCCCCCGGTTTTGCCTTTCCGGAAGGACCCTTCTCCCCTGGCCTGAACCGAAGGCTGATCCAAGGCGCGGTGCGAATCGCTCGCCCCGCCCCGGCGGAGGCCCGCGGACAGGCGGAGCGCTCGGCCCGGCGCGG